TGTGTTTATACCATTTAAGAATGAGTGACAGGTAAAATGACATGCAGTGAAATCATCACTTCGCAAGTATTATCGAAAACTATTGGCGTTAAATGTCTCGACGTATTTATTTACTTCTTCTTTACTTCTCCAAAACCAGTTTAATTCATATTAATGTTGACAAACTTTTCAACTGTCTGTCAAAGTAGAGGCTTTATTATTGGCACTCATCAACGATTTGCGGCACGATTGCCATAATAGTGCAAGTGCTGCTTTATTCTTTTATTCAAACTCGCTGTGGTCATCATAAAAATCAATGAAGCATATGTATCAATCATGTTTCATTGACATTAATTCACTTGCTATTGAGGCCCTGAACCTTAATAATCCGCAAAAAAACCAATATAATTCCATAATTTTAACCATAAAAACATTACGGTGTCGAGATCAGAACTTAAACATATTACCCGAAAATGGTCAAGGCAGAAGCCGAAAAATTTTATTTTAAACAAGTCATTACTGTATTAAATTATATGCGTAGTTATTATAGCCCTAATTGTATGTCTTAAAAATCGCACGTAGAATGTAAAAATCGTTAAATTACGAATGTATACCGTACCGGTTTTGAATTTTGGAATTATAGAATACTAGCCTAAAAATGAATGTAGCACATTAATGTCTACAGCTGACATAAAGATGGAGTGTTATACCAAATAAAGTCCCAACCAGTTACATTACATTACATTAGAGTTTACTTCTTCATTGTACCATGATTAATTATGGAAGTATGTTTTCTGAGATCCTGTCTTGAATTCAAATGCTGAAGATAGCATGCCATACTGATTGTTATTTATGCAATGAACTCATGAGCCAGAGGGTATGACAGATCAGTTTCGTTAATTGCACCTGAATTCCGTCTCGATGGCCTCCAACTCCACCAGGTGCTTCGCCTAAACAGTGTAGTCCTTGCCGCCTCACACCTTTTTGAGTCAGTAGCTAGGTTCACATTCAGAATTTAACGTGATCTAGTGGATCATGATCAAGCCAGTCATTTTATGTGAACCAACCAGAATCAAATAACGTGCTCAGCTTAATCACCTTATTGTGATCTAGTGGA